GACCCTTTCTTTCCCAGGGGAGTAGGAAGCAAGGGCAGCTGCTCCAAAAGAGGACACAGGCCAAGGTCAGTATTCTTTAAGTTCAGGTGAGTGGTAAAACTTTGTAACAACCACTATAGAAGAAAAGAAGGCAACTATGCAGGGACATATAGGACAATTACCAAGCAGTTTGAGAGCCCAGCTGAAGTGAAAACATCAGCTCTGGCAGTTATAATAAAACGGGTCAATTACCTCTTTATTTATCTCAAGGTAATGGCCAGAGAGGGAACACCAGACAGCTAGGCAGCCCTGGTGGGGCAGCTAGCAGGCCACTGGGACAGTTCAGAGTGAGGTGGCTGTCCTACATGAGTGTGGCTGCAATGAAGGAAAAAGGAAACAGCCAGGGGCAGTCTCAGATTCTGCAAAGGAAAAGGGTCTGCAAAGCCAGAGCCTGAGAAGGTCTGAAAGCCAGCTCATGATTCAAGGAATGGAAGAAGTGAGGTGACTGTCATCACACAGGGGAATCACAATTCCAGACTGTGGTGGGAGCAACTCCATCCCTAACTCTAGCTCTATGAGTGGAGATGGCAATAAGAAGCCAGTAGATGAGGGCCAGGGATTTAGCTCAGTGGCACCGGGCCTGCCTTGCAAGTGCAAGGTCCTGAGTTCAATTCCCGGTACAAAAAAAAAAAGGAGGAGGAGGAGAAACCAGTAGATGAGAATATCAAATAGCAAATGGGTCATCATCTCCAAGACAGACATGGTCCAGGATGTCCAAGTGCCCACAGGACTGCTGGAGCAACCTGGAGGCCAGTAGCTGTCCGTAATAAGGAAAGGAGCAGCTCGACCTCAGGTGAGCAGGTTGGAAATGGCCAAGAAGTAACTGTGATTTCTATGCTGAACTTGAATTCAAGCTTCTATTTAGCTATGCAAAAATGAGCAAGCAAGCTTCATGAACTGAAATGTAATGTAAAGAAAATAAGAAGTAAAAAATCTAGTTTAGCTTCACAGATCAAGAAAAGCACAGAGGATTGATTTTATAAAGCTATAAAAAATTAAAAATAGATGTGGTCACATTCAGAGAGGAAATTAACCAGACATGGTTAACATGTTTCCCAAGATAAAAATTTTGGCAAAAGTAAAATAATTGGCCCCAGCCAAATTCATGGACTGGTCAATCATAAAGCTGGGACATGTTCTTGTCTTGACTCCTGGGCCTGGCTCTGCATGACTCAGTTACCCCAGATTCAGAAAGAAAGAAGCTAAAACAACTCATATAAGGGAAGTTTGCAGAAATTCTAGATAATAGCATTCTGATGAGTGAGCAGATTTGTGACATCTCTTCCCTGAGGACAAATCAGGAAGATATGGTCTTACAACCCAACAAGAGGGATCCTACATTAAATACAAAGAAAATGTTCTGACTGAGGGATAGGAAATGAGCTATACAAGAGGAAGCCAAAATTTCCACCCTGCAGTTGCATTTTTGCTTGGTCAGTCATTTCTGAGTCCTGAGAGTTCTTATATTTGGATGAGCGTCCAGTCTGAGAGTCACTTAAATCCTGCCCACCTCAAGGATGATTTTCCAGCATGTTCTTCTTCCTTCTCACATAATTTCACCATGGTCCAATATTTTCTAACCTGGGTGCCACTATGTTATCATCAGGCTCCCAAAACCTAATTCCCCCACCTGATTATTCTACATCATAGTACAGCTTATATTTTCAAACAATTTGTGATTATATCTTCATTTTAATTGTGTCCTCCTCTCCCTCCAAAAATTCATACACTGAAGTCTTAATCCCAGGCAACTTCAGAATGGGATTCGAATCTTCAAAGAGGTAATAAAGATAAAGGGAGACCACTAATATGGGCCCTAATCTGATCCAACTAATGTCCGTATAAAAAGAAGAAATTTGGACACACAGAAACACCAAAGATGCATACTCACAGAGGAAAAGCCATATGAGGACACAGCAAGAAGAGGCAGCCATCTGGAAGCCAAGGAGAGCTCCTTAGAGGAATCAACCCTGCCAACACCTTGGTCTTGGACATCTACATTTCAGGACCACTGGAAACAAATTTCTTTTGCTAAGCTCCCCCAAATCTATGGCACTTTGTTTTGGCTGCCCTGGCAAGCCAATAGGCTGTATGCACTATCTTAGTTTACTGGTTCTCTTTCCCACAAAATATGCATCTGGTTCAGGTAAGTCCTTGTCTGTCTTATTTCCCATGTATCTCTAGCACAAGGATCTGCGCCTGGAAAACCACAGACATTAAAGGGATGAGTGAAATAGAATTTCTATTTTTAGATAAAGATAATTTGATCCAAATAGGTCTAAAGCAGCAAAAGGAAATCTAGAATTTGAACTGAAACCCTTGTTTCCAGCAGAATAAAAACATGGGTTCCCCTCTGGCTTCAAAGAAAACCCTGGAAAAACATAGATGTCACCGGATGCACCTGTGCCTCTTGCCAGGTGCTGATGCTAATACTATATTTTTTGAGGAAAAATGAATGAAGATGTGGAATTTATGAATAATTTTAGTTTGATAAAAATTATCATACATTTAACCACTTCTAAGAACAAGAACATAGCATATTTTCCAAGTTTCAAAAAACCATATAAATACACGTTGATCATTCAGTGACAATTTCTTGTAAATTATTATTATTATTGTCATTAACAATGAAATGTGATTTTTTTCCTGAAGTATCTTAACCAAGTCTAGGCAGTCTAAATATTCATGGGTTGTTTGGCTTTGTTTTTAAAGTTCTATCCTTTATCATATGTTGCAAATGGTTTCAGCTAGCAATTTCTTCCAATATGCAACAAATGGAGCATTACATATTATACCAGAGTGCTTTGGCAACCAAAGCCTGCAAAGACTTCTTCAGAGAGAGAAGTTAAATAGTCTCATAGTATAGGAAGCCAACAGTGAGTTGGAGGATGATTGTCTCCAAGCCCTAGGCCCCAGGATTTCTATAATGCTTGCCTCAGAAAGGTCCCATGCCCACATGTAAGAACCATGTACGTACACACCCTCATATGTGTACACATTTCCATTAAACTGAGAATTAATTTCCAATGAAAAAACAAGAAAATAATTTCTTCCAAAACTAATATCATAAGGAAATCTTTATCAGGAAGATTATTAAAATAAAATTATGTGTTTATAAATACAAAATGTAAGACTCAAATATATAAGGCATGCACATTTGTCTGTAAAATATTTACATTTATTTGATTATGCATTTGCATTCAGGAGTAAACACCTCTGAAATGAACATCCTTTTCTATTTTGCACATTTCCTAGGTGTTCAGTAGTCTCTCCAGTACCCCTTATCCATCATTTTGCTTTCCTGGTTTCAATTACTGACAGTCAACTGTGGCCCAAAATGTTAAATGAACAATTCTATAAATAAATATGTTTAAATTGCCACTGTTCTGTGCAGTGCTGAATTCTCATGCCATCTCCCTCCATCTTGCCCAGAATATAAATCTAGCATGGACCTGATATATATGCTACACTCTTTTTAGTCACTTAGTAGCTTCTAGTGCATCAGATCAACTGTCACAGTATCCACAGTGCTTTTGTTCAAGTAATACCAATCTAGCAGCTTAATGCTGCACCACAATGCCCACATCATCCACCCCAGTCATTTCATCATGCATGTATTGTATCATCTCATATCATCACAAGAAAAAAGTGAATACCATACAGTAAACTATTTTGAGAAAAGGCAGGAGAGAGACATCACATTGATATAACTTTTATTATAGTGTATAGTTATAGCCTCTATTTTATCATTAGTTCTCGGTGTTAATTTCTTATTGTGACTGATTTATAACTTAGAAATTACCATAGACAGGTGCATGTAGTCAAAAATTGTACATATAGAGTTCACTATTATCTGTGGTTTCAAGTATCTGTTGGGAGCCTTGGAACATTACCCCTCCAGATGATGGTTCCCTCTCTCCCTCCCTCCCCAATACTCTCCTACTTCAATTCTCACTCTATAACATGCTTCCTAAATCCATGTCTAGCTCTTACTTCCCTCTTCCAATTTTCACTCCCTCATCTTCAATCACCTACAAGACAATTCCATTGTAGCACCTTATAGTCATCTTAACACCAACATGTCTTAGCAAGAACATACTACCTTTCCCCAAAGCTAGTTTATTTTGCTGATTACTTTGCTCTTCTACTGCTTGTTCATATGAAAGGGAATCTGAGAACTGTCTACAGCAACAAAGTGGATTTGAGGGGCATATTATCATCATTGGTCCTAACATACTCACCTTCCTCTCAACAATAACACCAGGTTGATGTACTTATGCACATGGTACACAGAAATAGAACACAGCTCCCTCCCCAATGTATTGCCTGTGGGATACTGCCCAAAACATTCTGAAATAACTGTATTCATTGTGCATTATTTTTTCACAATTGGTTAAATATTTTCAAGAAACAACATACAAGAAATGTCAACATTTCTCTCAATAAGTAAAACAATATGACCAGACAACATCAACATCCAAGTGATAAAACACACATATAAACAAATATGGAGTGGAGATGGAAGGCAGGTTATATAGCATATCACAAAATATCCCAGGGTTATCAGAAAAGAGAATAAGACCTGATACAACATATTAGCCAATATAAGGCACTGTTTTATGGGTCCCATTCATTTATGCCATTTACAGGCAAAAGAGTTGGAAAAATCCTCATCAGACCAGTACTACCATCTCATCCACCATATTTGCCAGGCAACAGGATGACAGTCTCCCCAGATATAAACACAGACACTTTACCAATGAGGACGCAAAGAAACAAGACAAATGAGTGACAATGGCGCAGGGCAAGCAAAATGCTAATTGACCAGGACTGTATGGCATGTGTATTAGTTTAGCAATGGAATGAAATGAAGGTTTGTGAGCACATGTGTGTAACAGAAGCACATCCCTCTTGCAAGATGTTGCTTCAGTGAAGACATGAACCAAATGAGCAAGTAGTACCTGTGACGGTTTCATTAAATGGTTCTGGACCCTTAATGGGAAAACCATCAATCTTGATCCATTCACCTCCTAAATTAGGAAAATGCAACTTGATAGTTAGAAACAAGGACAATTGGACTTTCTGTATTTCAGTGCATCCTTAATGATTAGGTAAATGATCTTTTTAATAGTCTTCAAGGATATCTGTTCAGGCTTTAGAGACAATATATATTTTGAGCCTTCTGCCATGATTTATTCTACTGAGTACTTAAAAACCCCAGGAAAAATGCTGATGATCTACACTAAAACTGCTGTTAAAAGAGGAGCAAGTCTTTCCTACTTTTCTATCCTTCAGCTTGCTACATGAGTCTCAAATGTTCTCTTTCAGGAATCCTTTAGCAATTCTAAATTTATATTGATTTGAAGTAAGGAAGGAAGTCTCTCCCAATCTAAGTACCAAAACCACAGCCTCCAAACACTAGATAAGACTTACCAGGTGGACTTTCAGCTCTGTAAACTGGACGGCTCATTCCATTGTGGTTTTCTGCAGTAACCAGCACAAAGTACACTACCCCCGGCTCTGAAACACATGGTTTACATCAAGCCACTGTTTCCAATCTCCAAGAAAGACACAGTTTGATTCACTAACCATCTCCTTATTCTGGTTATAACCATATATGAAATCTAACCTAAGTGACAAGTCTAATAATAACTTTGTTTTTGTTTTTTTACTAAAATCACTAATGTTTTTATGCAATTAAACAAACCTGACCTAAAGAAAACAAACTTTAATTAGTGCAAAGTACATGGCATGTGTGACAAATCTGGATTCACAAGCAAGCAATAAAGGAGATTTTAAGGTTTTTTAATGTGAACTCAATATAAGAACATACAGATCAAAAACTTTAGGTGATAGTTTAATTTCCCATGGAAGCTCCAAATGGAAATCTCCTTTTTACAATAAGATGCTTCCCAGGCTATGTATGTAGGTTGGTTTCTACTATTTCAACAAAAAGCTAGAAAAAATATTTTTGTGAAAGCTTGAAGTAATTGGGCTTCATTTTTTGACTTTTGTCTCAGGGTAAAGGTTAAATAGCAAAGGTCTTTGGCTGGGCTCCTAATGTTAGTATTCCAAGGGAAATCAAGACACCATGTTACAAAGAGATCACTCCCTAAATCTGCACATTGGAAAAACAAAGCTTTAATAGCACTGGTTTCCCTCAAAATTAATTGTTATCTTCTGACAGGTAAATGAGTTGGCAATTCCATGAACATTTGTGGGCATTGTAGGGAATGAAGAGTTGTGAGATAAAAGTTCCTTCAAAGGCAGCAACCATAACATTTCTCAAAGTGAGAAGTGTTCCTTCAACAAAATCTCACTCAGCTCTCCAGCCTGAATCCCGAGACCAGTGACTAGGCTGACACCATCTGTCACACTAGATGTGACTTCTGTCTAACTATGGCAGGGCCTCATGGAATTTGGGGTCTGGCACAACCTGCTGGACTAAGGGAAAAAGGCTCCAGGTTCAAAGAGAATGCAGAACGGTGCTTCATCGGGTAACTTCTTCACTGGCAGTTTATTTATATTTCAAAGAAATGTAATCCATACATCTCTGAGTCCCATAGAGTTAATGCAAAAAGTTGACTGGGAGACACTTTGTTTTTCAGTAAATTCAACATCTCTCCTTTTGCCTGTTTTCCTTCTCTGCAGCAATCATAATAGCCTAAGGCGAAAGGAAATATGACCCCACAGGTGCCTTCAGTCTGATAGAATTCTCCGTTTAACCTCACAGCTGGGATTTGGGCGGCCACAGCAATTCGAAAGAGATTCAAGGAAATGTAGCTGAAGCCAGAAGGAATTGAACCTACTCTCCTTTATCACCCTTTCATAACCTCTCTGCTCCATTACTCAGAAAAATACGGTAAAATAAAACTGCAGTGCAAGGGGCAAAGGGCCTAGGTCAGTGCCGAGGAGCCATGAGTCAGTCATGATTCATTAAAGGATCAGACTACTAATGTGGTACAAGGGACACCTGTTTTTCTCTATGCTGACTTCTGTGACTTTTCATGATCTACCGTAAGACTGGACCCCCAACATGATGGTAGAATCAGTGTAGTTTCAAGCTACAGAAATCAGAAATAGAAGAAAGAAGAAGAGGAAACAGCCAAACCCCAAGTCCTAACCCCCTACATCTGCACTTATAAAACAATATATATTGAGGTGAGATTTAAAATATGTCTAACTTCCAGAATCAAATTAAAATAAAATACAAAAGGTTACATTTTTTATTTGATGTGGCTAAGCATGACATTCTACACACACCTCTATGGGGACATGTTATAGTTGATCCTTGAACAACTCAGGGATTGGGGGCATCAAGTTCTGTGCAGTCAAAAAGTTGCATACATTTTCCTCCCCAAAAAACTTTCCAAGAGATTGCTGCTCATCTGAAGCCTTCCTAATAACAAGCAGCAGACTAACACACGTTTTGTTTGTTATATGTATTATATATGGCGAAAGATAAGTGAGGACCGAGAGAAATCTCTTTCCTGTGACATGCAATTGAGTGGGAAAATGAAGATCATCACATGAGAGCATTTTAAGTGAGTATTTGCCAACACTGAGATTACTACATACCAGGAACAGGAGGCACTCAGTTTTCTGTGATTATGGTTTATTATCTCATCTTTACCTTTGTAAATGTATGCAAAAATTTTGGTAAATTTCAACCCTAATAGATAGATTTGTGCAGATTGTATGGTAGTAAATGTAACAGATTATTAGCTATAT